TCATTTATTATTTTTTTGTGACAAATTAGAAATTTTATGTCACAAATTATTTTACGATCACAATTCAAAAAATTTGTAGGTCACGGTTTGTTCATCAATTGCAAATCAGAAAAGTATTTGGTCACAGATAAATTTTAGTCACAACTTATTTCTCGGTCACAAATCAAAAATTTTATAAGTCACATACTATTTTTCGGACACGAATCAAAACTTTTACAAGTCACTGACTATTCATTGTCGCAGAATAATATTTTTTATTGGTCACAACTCATTTATCATTGCAAATTATTAGATTAATTTGTCACGATTAATTTTTTGATCACAATTTAATCAATTGAGCCACATTTCACAATTTTTAGGTCACATATTACAAATTAGCCAATTATTAATCATAATCAACCAAATAACTAGTCACAAGCATCCAACCGATCTAACAACCACCGCCGTGACCTCCACAATCGCCATCACTATCACCGCCACCACCACCAGATCACACAAAATCATAATCGCCGCCTAAACACCAACAAACCATCGACCACCACTATTAGATTCACTGTGCCAGGCAGCACCGCCACCGTCTCAAACAAATTTACACATCACAGGAAAATACCACCACATTCGAGATCCACCACAACCTCACCAGACCCATCTCCACCATCACATCTGCTACACACCACAGAGTGCAATCACCCGATGCCATTGCTACCACTACAGTACCACTACAGCCGTATGAATCAACAATCATCACAACCTACCTCATCAAGTCCACCGTTCCCTTCGTCTCTGTCACAAACGAAAATGAATAAAATAGATCGCAGCAAGCGCTCATAGAGGCCGATCGTAACGTTGCTGTACATGGAAACAACGGTGAACGAAGGGGTGATCGGCACTAGAGATGATGATGGAAGTGGTTGATTGGGGTCATCTCGCTATGCGCGACGACTCTTCTTTCAACGCATCATCACCGTGAAGTGAGATGCCTGTAATTGCGGTGGCGACGTCATGCTACTTCGTGCGACTTCACTCCAGAGGGTCACTTTTCTGTAGAGAGATACACAACGATATATATAGAGAGAGAAGGGTTTCCGGCTGAGACGTGAGATTGGAGAGAGAAAGGCGTGGGGGAGAAATAAATTAGGGTTTGTAATATAATTATTAATATTTAAAATATATTAATAAATTAATGAATTAAAAAAATATCTGATATTTGAAATAGTAAACTTCACCTATGATTTATGAATTGGGATCTCTAAATCTATTAATTTGTGTAATTTCCACATTTTAATATGAAACAAAGCAAGCCCATGAGGCGTAGTAGAAATGAACTTAAAGTTCAAGACAATGGCCCAATGAGGATTGCACTCACAATAATATATATATAGATTTTCTTTTTCAATAAAATCTATTCAACCTTTCTTGTAACATTATTGACAAATGTTGTATTTTTTTTTTATCAACTTCAACTTTGAGAAGTTGCTTTCGATAGATTCAACTATAAGTGATATAGTCAATAATATTCTATAAATAATTCACGCATTTGAAATATAACATTTACCATTTTAATATAGTCTAATAATTTAATAGCCTTTTTTCCTCTCCTTTTTACAAACGAATTTCTTAGAATTTACATCTCCAAAAATAACTCTTGTCCATCAATATTAGAATTATTGTCATTAAAACTTATCACAACAACACTTGAAAGAATTATTATCCAAAGTTTTCAATAATTTTTTTTTAAAAAATCAATTGAAAACTCAAAAAGTTATTTTCATATTTTTAAAAGAGGAATTTTAAAAAATGTCTAATTTCATGGGTGTTAGTTGAAAAATATCTTCTTTTTAAATTTAGCACTAAATTGTCTATTACGCCCTTTATGAAAAAAGAAGCAATTTATTTATTTTTTCAATTTGTTGCGGATTTCGAGAAGTAGTTTTCATGAGAATTTACCTTAAAATGATATTCTCGACATTTCAAATGTTATTCTCGACATTTGAATCCCATTTATATTTTAAAAGTACACATGTCAAGTCACAATATTAAATGTTCTCGACATTTCAAATGTTGTTCTCGACATTTTAAATCTTTAGAATGACATTTTATTCCGAACATGACAATTCTCTACACTTAAAATGTAATTCTCGACGTTTCTGTGTCAATGAGAAAAATAACATTAATTGTGATTTGACATATGCACTTTTGAAATAAATATGACAGGTTATATGTCAAAAATTTATTGGCTAATAAAATTTTTGCAAAAATGTCCATTTCTTGTCTTTGTGTGGAATAATAAATTGTTCACTGGGGTATTTTGGTCTAAAATATTCCAAAATAGACTTTTTTGCAAGGATTTGTGAAAGTGGACATTTCAAGCAATTTCCTCTTTTTAAAATTATTCAAAAATTAATTTAAGTGAAGAAAGGGTATGGTCAACTATAGATAAGAGATAATCAATTTTAAAAGAATCTTCAACTGAATGTGTTATCTCATCATCAATATATTCATTAAAGTGTCTTTTTCTATTAGTGATAAGTTTTCCATGAACTGCAGGTTCAACTTCTATTTTAAGCAGCAATTTCTTTAGCATTAATCTCATCAAATTCAAATTTTGTTTTTCTATATGTTTCAAAAAATGAAATAAGTGTTTTCAAATCATTAAGAGCAGCATAAATATACACATTCTCTCTTTGCAACATTGTGCATACTTTATTAATATTAGACAATATATCATACCAAATAATCATACCAAACAAGAACTTAAAATTAATAATGCGAGAAGATAAAGGTTTTAGTATAAATATCTTAGGATTGTCACATGTTTTCACCAGGCGTTTTAAAGCGACTTTAATTCTTGGCACTTGTGATTGGAATGAATTCTCGCAATGCAAAAGAGCATGCAATTGCAACAGAAGATACCATATTATCGCATGGTAGTTTCCAGCAGCACAAATTTCATTTCTAATTTGGCTTAACCTATACATGGAAATGATGGAATACGATTCAGGCTCGTTTTTAACCTAACTTGGGAGACTGAAATATGGAGTTATCATTCATTAGAGAGAAAAATAAGAAGCATGAGACAAGAACACAATCCTCCACACAAATTGAAGATTATTGTATGGATCTTAGGTGAAGAAGATACTCGGAGATTATTCAAGAATCATTGAAGAAACTCAAGAGTTGGCTTTTTCCCTTTGTCTTGCTATAATTAAAATTCATATTCCATGTGATGTCTCAATATTCTTCATTGGTTTTGTAACTTTATGACGCTTGACTAAATTTCTATCACTAGGATGACGTGAACCTAATATTATGATGTTCTAATTTCAGTTTCAAGATTTTGACATTAAATTCTTGTTTGGACCATGCTGGGTGCCCTGCTAGACAACACTAAGCGTGGGCCCCGGTGCATTTTTTTTTCATATGGGACCAATCCCTACAGTGAGGGGTCGGTAAAACCCCTGTAGGAGAATGCACAGAGCATTCTCCTTGTTGTTTAGCTAAAATGATGATTATGATTTTAACTTGAACCTGACCTACAACCCGAGGGCAAGAAAGCACATTATTAGTTGCATAATCACCTTATGAGTTTTCCTCTCGTGGAGTTTGGTAACAATAAGGATGACAAAAGAGCCCATCGACCTGGCTAAAGCTCGACTTGGCCTGAGCCTGGGGGCCAAAAATGGCTCATGACAGAGGGCCAAAAAAAAATCATGAGAATGGTTGTAATTTTTACTTAAACTACAATTAGTATAAAATGTAGAACATTTACATTATTGAAAAGAATTTAGAATTTTACAAATTTTAAAAAAAAATTAGAAAAACAGCGAGCTGGCTCGGCTTGGTAAAGTTCCAAACCAAGTCTCAAAATGTTGGCGGGACCAAGCATGAGCCACAAGTTTCAGCTCACAAGCCGGCTCGACCCGACTCGCTGACTCCCAAAACAATAGCGTATGACCATATTTCCACGAGACAATTGAATTGAAGAACTTCCCCAACACACTGTCTAATTTCACCCACTCAAACCAGAGGAGTGTGTTTGATAAGATTAAAGCCCATTTTTAAGAGGCAGATAAATTTTTATTCTCCAATACAAGACCTACTACTTTTCTTCTTTTCTCTGTGTAGCTTTTGCTACATTACAAAAGGATCAGATTTTTATTTTTTATTTTTATTTAAGATGTATACAGTTTATACGAAACTAAAAAGAATTTGATTTTTGATTTTAATCTTTCAAATATTACTCTGTTTAATAAACTTTCTTGCTAGAGTATTCGAATGTGTGGTTAAAAGAGAGCCAGTTTTATCTTTATGTATTCAAAGAAAGAATTCAAACTACCTGTGCTTCAAGTAACTTCACTTGGAAAATATATAATTGTTACTAAAGTTACTCTTTACATCTTTCATTACATTTTTGCCTGGTCAAATTTCAAATTTTAATAATATATTTTTATGGGAATCGAACTTTTATGACCTTTTTAATTACATATTTCATCATTTTTTTTTATCAAAATATGCTAAAATTTGCATAAAAAAACTTTGTCACACAAATCCTTAATTTAATAATTGATTAGACGTTTTCCCACATAGCCATATATTCATATTTTAAGTTCTCACAATTATTTCCACATATTCGCAAACTCTTCTTCTTAGAAAGTTAGACAAGCATTTGACTTCTCAGATTAAAAGTGTAAGATATAACTTTTGGAGAATTGTCATACATTATCGTCGTTCTCTCTCTTAATCTTGTTTAGCTTACATTTGGTGCTCTTTTTTTTTTTTGCCCAATTCTAATTTTTTTGCCCATTTCTCATTCTCCTGCAGTGATGATTGGACAGCACAATGTCGTTGAGCGCTAGCACAATGTCGTTGAGCCATGCTTCCTCAAAAAAGGTTGAATCCCAACTTTAAGGGCTCTCACCGATTCTGTTCTGAGTCATCGTGAAGGAGGTAAATCGTACAATGTGTCTCCCAATAGCTAAGGTGGAAAGCACATGATTTTGCCCTCGTATTGTTTACGCTTTCCTTATATTTTCCCAAGATTTGTATTTCATCCCTACCACTAATTTCCCAATCGACCTACACTGCGCATCTTGACTCCCCAGCATTCGTCTCTTCGGCCATTTTCACAGCTCCTCCGTCCACCGTAGCGTCGTCGGCCAACGACTTACCGACGGGATTTGAGCGACGCGACTACGAGATCAACAGTTTCCTTGCATCAGAACTTCAACCCATTGAAGAGCTACTTCGACATTCTCTCTTCCATCACTACCCAATCGACGACAATGGACAACTACGGCCAGTAGTGGGACTATGTTCCCGAATACCTAGTAAGTTTCTACATCCTTCGTGCTCACATTCGATCACCGCATGTCTGGCTGCACAATAGTAGCGTTTGTCCCCTATTTTCCCAATTTCTTGTTGCGTCCGTTCCACATATGACCCAGTCTACCCGAATGTGAAAGTCACGTTTGGTAATTCAGAACGTTGGTTGTGCAATTGATTTTGAAGAAATTAATTACTTAGTAGATCTTACAATGACAACCTATGTCCATTTTCGTACTGTTATTTCCCATTTTCGGATGATGTGTTTCTCATTTTGCTCTACCCTGTCCACTTGTATGTTATTAAGGAAACAATAATTTGTAAACAGGATCATACACTGTCCATTTTCCCCACTCGATCGAAAATGAAACTCCGTAGCGTAGGATATTGAGTTGTTCGAGGATTAGTGCATCTCACAGTGACACTGGCTTTTTCTCCCTTCCCCATTTGCCAAGTAATGCATTTTGTTGTTTTATATGATATTGTCGTTGCGAGTCTCACAGCTTTTGCCTTGCAGCACAACACCGGTGGCTATGCCTAGCAAATGCATTCTGTTGCATCCGACCCCCAAACCCATAGCTAGCGGTGCGGAAGGCTGCCAAATGGAACTTAACAAAATCTGAAAAACAGAATTGCTGAAGCAAGAGAATGCGTGATGGTAAATTTTCTCTTCACATTCTGATCAATCTTTACAAGTGTATATATAGGGTGTAGCTCTAACTAACTAACAAAATTAAAGCTGTAAAGGAGAAACAGAAAGAATAAAATGCTAACAAATCTGCCATGTCAGCAGCTATACAACAGAAAGGAATTTAAATTATATTCAATAGAACTCACCGGAGTGCAAGATCTTCATTACAACGTGCGAAATGGTGACTGCTGAAGGCCACCGACACGGGAAATGCTTCTCCACGAAAGGATGGCAGCGTATCACTGAGATTTTCAACAGGACGACAGGAAAGAATTGGACCACATCGCAAATGAAGAACTATTGGGGAAAACTACGGGAGTAACATAAACACCTGTTCGAGCTGCTGCGGAGCACGGGAATTGAGTACCGCTCCAGCATCGGTAATATCATCACCCCTGAGCATTGGTGGGAATGCAAAATCAAGGTACCATATGCTGCGTTCCATTATAACTTACTGGCCCGATTTGTGATGCCCGATTTATTTTTCTTATTATTACAATTTGCTGGTTTCATGGGAGCAATGGTATAGCTGTATGAGTAGATAGAAGATTACATAAGCTCTGTTTGGTACACATTAATGTAAAAATGAGAATGAAAAATATAGCCGTTACGGGTCCCACACAATAAATAAAAATTCAAATTTGATGGTTTGATGTAATGGATAACGGTTATATTTTTCATTTTAATGAGGAAAGAATGGGAAACAAACGGGGGCATAATTTAGGAGATTTGATTCGACACTGTAACACTAATATTGTACGTAATTATACCATTGCTAGTGTAATAGTATATTTAACTATTACTTAACTTACTAGTGGCAGGCATTCGATAAATTAATGGAAAGCAAACCTCAATGGGAATCATTCAAACCAATTGATAGAAAAAGGTTCATGGCTCCCATCAACCTTCATGATATGATAGGAAATGTAGTTTATAGACTTTGTACTGGTTATCTACTAGTCAAGAACCGATTGACATATGTGGTATGGAAATTTTGAAGTATACATGTTGCTGCTATTAAGAATAATAACGTTGGGAATTTGTAATTTGACAAAGAACAACGGTAATGTGTTGAATAATAGGGTTCATGTGCAACATTTCTACACTTCTATGGACAGTAGATACTGCAAAATTTCACTTATTGATTAAGCGAAGGTTGTACTGAAATTACCGTTTCATGACTCTAAAACGACAACTTCAACATGATAGGATAAGATAAAAAAAAAAAAATAACAGTATAAGGAGCATGAGTATAGGACGCTATAACCTTCGAACTTCATAGAGAATCATAGTGACCTGGTAAACCATTTCACACTGGAAATTAATAGAAATATTCTCAACTTTTAGTAATCTTTAAACCTCACTTATATGTAAGGCTTTTTAAAGTTGTTATGCCATAGGTAGTCATGAAATTGACCTTCAGTCCTATTTCTGTTTCATACATCCCTTCCATATGTACAAGTCCTATTTTAGTAAATGGAGATTCCTATCTTTACTTTATATACGAAGAGTTTTATACTGACAGTTTTAAGGTGTCATATGCCCTCTCTAGCAGGATGTAGAAACACCTTTTTTGCATAACAAACACCTTCTTGTTAGGTACTAATGGCATTACCTCTTCAGTCAGTAAAATATTTATTCTTTTTAGGTTTTTATATATATTCTGCTCTCTTATATGCATGTGATTAACGGTGAATGATGTCCCAATTGAGTGCCTTGGCATGTTCCTGTGTTCCTTTAGTCATATCATTATTATGTATTCTTTCTAATCCTTTTTTTCCTTCTTGTTTGGAAACAGGAAAACTTGAAGTATGTGAAGTACAAGCACATGGACTGCAGGGAGATTTATGACATACGAAAAACTTTTCAGTGACACCGGAGACTTGTCTAAGTATGCGTTATCGCCGTCGAAGCTGTCGCGCCATGGATTCGACCTCGATAAAGATAGTGTCGAGACGATGTCGGTGACAGGTTGCCAATCAACGCGGAGTGAACCTATTCTAGTGATGGTCCGAATGAAGGCATAGAAAACTGAGCATGGACATTTCTGGGAGACGCAGTAGGGATAAACGCAAAGGAAAACAACGCAGGGAGAAGGGAAAGAAGAAACGGTACAATGCTCGAGATGTTTTGACGTCGCTCGAGCAGATGGTTAGCGTCGAAACGGATCTTGCCTCAATTGCAAGGTCACATAGTAAAGGAGGAATGTCAGTCGTCAAGTGTGTCGAAGAACTTCTGTCGTCCGGTTACGTGACGAAAGGTGATGTGCTCCACCCGTTCAGCCTATGGCTCCTCCGCGACAAAGATAATCAGAGTTCTTATTATGCTGCGAAAACACCACTTCTTTGCTTCAAGTTTGTGGAGTACTGCTTCGAGCGAGACAATCTGATGCATCAACGAAAGGGGTGACTGAATCGTCTTATGCTTATGTGGTGGTGGTGTTTATTTTATTTTCATGCTTTTCACGTTCCGAACTTTTTTCTCCATCCTAGGCGTGGGCAGAGCTGTATCATGAAATTTGGCAGTAGACAATTTTTTTGCCTCATGTGAATCTTACTGCCATCCTGGTGATGTGTACTTTGTTAAGGGAATATAATCCCACATCGGTAAAATACCGAAATAATGACCAATATATAAAGAATTGGGACACTCCTCTTAACAAGATTGACCTTATTAAGATGGACCCCAAATCTTGACATGGTATCAGAGCCCATTAAGCTCCAACGAGCGATTCGATCCGATTAAGTCTCTAAAAATGAGCACACGGATTTCAAGATTGGTCTGCTCAAACGAGCCACCATCTTGCGGGGGCATGTTAAGGGAATATAATCCCACATCGGTAAAATATCGAAATAATGACCAATATATAAAGAATTGTGACACTCCTCTTAACAAGGTTGACCTTATTAAGATGGACCCCAAACTTACATACTTTAGGTATTATTATATATATTCCATTTACCATGTGAACTTGCTAGAAAGGTTGTGGTGTGTACCTTTTATATTATTTAATTCCACATTGCATGTGATTAAGAGTAAAACAAATGGGAATGTAGCTCTCTTTAATTGGTAGGGAATATATTCCCTAAAACCTGCAATAATGAGTCTTCAAGTAATCTATTCCCTATTGAAAAAATGTTCTCGGACTTTTTGGAAAGGGTTGTGCATTAGTACCGCTTGCTTTCTATAAATGCTAGACGCAAATGGATTCAATTGGAGAGAGTATCCGACTGTTGAAACATAGAAACACCTTCACACACTGTAAACTAATCACTATTATTTCCTTTAAACGGGGGAGATGTTGGATGACTCAATTGTCGTATCGGGTTCGGACATGGATTGTGACATTTAGTCCATGTTCAACGAAGGGTGGGGTTTCGAAGAAGACGTGATGCAGCAGTTAGAGGAGGACATTACCACGTGGCTCGAATATTGTCGAGTTGCAGAGCGTGTTATTCGCGAGTACTTTGCACTGAATGGAGCACGTCGGTATTCATTCCCAACTACATGCTGTGGCCACATTTTCATGCTAGAGAATATGCATGTTAATTTGCAAACTTGTTTTTAGGAATTTCGGATGTATCCGCCCATGTTCATGCACTTTACCCACATTCTTCGTGACCAGTACGACATATCGAACAGTGCGAAATCAACGTGTACGAGCTAGTGAGAATGTTCTTGTGCATACTTGTGCACGAAAAAGGATATCGACAAGTGCAAACTTTGTTCGATCACTCGCTATAGACCATCGGGCACTATTTTAAGGTAGTGCTACGGGCATACTTGGCGTTTGCTGTTACAATGGTAAAACCAGATCCGTCATACAACGAAGGTGCTGCCAACCATCGCCCCGATCTGAAGAGCTACCCTTTGTTCTAGGTTTGTGATACTCAATCACGATATATCTTTTCATAACCCTAGCAACGGTGACGTAGTTTATAATCTGGCCAACGGCCACGTATGATTGTGAAATTGTAGGACTGCATTGGTGTAATTGATGGGACGTATATTAGAGCTATGTTGTCGAGGCACAAAAGGGAGGATTTCATAGGAAGAAAGGGTATTCCGACACAGAACGTGTTGGCGGCCTGCGATTTCAACCTATGCTTTACGTTTGTTTTGCCAGGAACAACAGGAAACATGCACGCCAGCCGCATTTTGGCCCGAGCTATTCATAGTCTGGAAATAAATTTTTCACAACTAGCAAACGGAAAATATTACCTTGTTGACTCCGGGTTCGTGCACAGGCTTGGATATATGACACCGTATAAGGGCTCCGATATTAGATATCATTTCCAAGAGTTCGAGAACTTAACGAGCGGATAACGGCATCGTTTTCGTAATGTACGAGAGTGATACAATTTTCATCACTCATCATGTCGAAATGTTATCGAGCCGGCGTTCAGTGTATGGAAACAGAGATGGAAGATTCTATATCGAATGTCAGCTTATAGTATGAGAGTGCAAACCGCTGTGGTCGTGGCCACAATGAGAATTCATAACTTCCTTAGGAGAAACGGTAGGCTTGACGAGGGTTTTCGTAGAGCCGAAGAAGTGGATGACGACAAAGTTGAAATCGACCTTCCGAAAGATCAAGATGAAATTGTAGCCGTACTGAATGCAATAGGTGAGGAAGACATGTCGTGGCAACAACTGCGCGATTACATTGCACAGGCACTACGTTAGTAGTCGTACGATGGGGACGAAATGGTACGTTATGTTGTGTGCGTGTTGTTGTCTGTGTCATGTGTTCTCATTTTGTTGTTTCGTCGAGTGTCGTTGATGGGGATGTTAGTCGCCATATTCTAATTGTAGTCCGCCAACGGTTACGTATCGGTGCATGTATGTTTTCATATTAATAAGTTATTGGGTTCTTGTACTGTCTCCTTGTAGATGAGTTTATTGAATCATACAAATTTATGTTCGTGTTTTTTGTAATACATTTATGTAAACAGGAAAATCGGGGTTCTAAAATATTTATTTATTTTTAACCAAGTGTAGATGGTTTAATTTAAGAAAATTAAAAAGGGCAAAAAAACGAGACGACGTGTGAGATGCAGAACTGAATGATGAATATTGACAAATTGTCGTGTCTCGTACGTAGATTTGTAAATGAATTTGGGAAAAGGCCGATACTTTACACCACGTGGCCAGAAATGTTGACTTTTCTACAAGGGCTTTCATGGAATTCTTGAAAATATGTCAAGTGGGAATTCAAGGGTTGCTGCCAAATTCAGGCTACTATGTCAGAAAGCATTAATTATTTTCTCAGTTGGGCCCACCGATGGCAGCAAATTATGGAGAAAATGGGGGCCAAATAGTTATGAAAGGAATGAAAACTGGCTGAAAAGGAATACGAAACAACAATTGTAAATTTTGGGGTCTAAATTGCAATCTTAGAAACTTGAGAAAGACTAAAGTTAGATGATTTTGGATACCGTTGGTCAAATTGAAAAGAATTAATAATTTAAGGACTCTTTTACACGATAGATGGGGACTCGAGCTGAATCGAAGAAGGAATTCAGAGAGCAAATGAACGAGTAGTAAAAAGGAAGGCTTTGCGATTGCAAGAATCATTTTGTGCAATTGGAAGGTGGCTGGAATGAATTCTATCAATGCAAAACGCGAAGCATGCGATCGCAACCGAAGCTCCGGTACGATCACAAGGTAGTTCTCGACAACAAAAATTTTGTTTCCTAATTTGACTTAACCTCTATAAGGAATACGATTCATGCTTGTTTTTAACCTAACTTAGGAGGCTGAAAAGGGAGTTATCATTCATTAGAGAGAAAACAAGAAGCATGAGACAAGAACACAAAATCCTCCACACAAATTAACGATTATTGTTTGGATTTTAGGCAAAGAAGAAGATACATAGAAATTGTTCAAGAATTATTGAAGAAATTTAAGAGTTGAATTTTCCTTTTTCCTTTCGAAAATTAAGATCCAGATTCCATGTGAAGTTTCAATATTCCATCATGGGTTTGTAATTTTATGACGCTTGACTAAGTTTTTAGTCAACGGGATGACGATGGACCTAATATTATGATGTTTTAATTTCAATCTCAAGATTTTGGGATTAAATATTTGTTTAGCTTAAATATTCGTTATGATTTTAGTACTTTCAATTAATTGATCCTTAATTCAGTTGATTAGTGATTCTTATTTTATTCAAGAGTGAATAAAAATTGTAATACATAATAAAGATTATTGAACCTGGCCCACAGCCTACGGACGAGAAAGCGCGTTATTAGTTGCATAATCAACCTATGATGTTTCCTTCCGTGGAGTTAGGATTAACATATCTACGTGAGACAGTTGAATTCAAAACTTTCCCAACACACTCGAACTACAGGAGCGTGTTTCATAAGATTAAAGCCCATTTTTCTAAAAGGGTGAAGAAATTTTTTTCTCCAGACAAGACCTACTACTTTTCTTTTTTTCCCTTGTGTTGCTTCTGCTGTATTACAGAAGGACAAGATTTTTTTTTTCTCTTTTATATATTTTATTTTATTTTTATTTTATTTTTTTGTGTGTGTGTGTGTGTGTGTGTGTTAGGTGCAAATATACAGTTATAAGAAAATTAAAAGAATTTGATTTTTGATTAATCTTTCAAAGATTACTCTCATTAATAAACTTTCTTGCAGAATATTCAAATTTGTGGATCAAGAAAGTTAGTTTCTTATTTAAGTATTCAAAGAAAGAATTCAAACTACCTTTGCTTCGAAGCAACTTCACTTGGAAAATAGAGTCTCCATTTGTCTCCTTACTTTGGAACTGAACTTTGGAATAGGGAATATTTTAAAAATATGTGTTTAAAAAGTAAGTAGAATTTTTGGGTTTACATATAAAATATGTGATTAAAAATGAGATTGAGAAAACAGAGTTATGAAATAATGGAAGAAAATGCTACTAAAATTACTCTTTTAATCTTTTGTTACATTTTCAAATTTTAATCATATATTTTATAGGAACCGTAATTTTCATCACATTTTAACAACACATTTTATTAAATTTTTCTCAAAATCTACTAAAATTTATATAAAAAGCTTTGTCGAAAAACCCTTAATCTAATAATCAATTAGACTTTTTCCACACAGCCATTTATTTATATTTTATGTTCTCACAATTACTTCCACATATGTAAACTTCTATTCCACTTAAACTAGCATTTGACTTCTCTGATTAAGCCATTGTTTGAGATCCTTTTTTGGGCCAAAATACATTTTAAAATAGTTTTTTTATTAAAGAATGTATGGTTGAAACTTAAAAGATAAAGAAATTTTTTTAATTTACATGTAAAATTATTTTATAGAAGGTGTGGTTGAAAATGAATTTTGAAAAATTAGTTTTTGAAAAAATGGGGTTAACATAGGCTAAAAATGTAAAATATGTCGTAAAAAAAGAGAGATAATTGTTGATAATTATTTAATGTTATTATGATACATATATTAGTATTATCTTGTTTAGAAGATATATTTTATTCCAATTGTAACTCTTATTTTTTACATTATAAATATGGGTCATGTAATTTTCTAGCACATA